GCTGCCCTGCGCCTCTGGCCGGCGCTGGGCTGAGGGGAGCGGTGCCGCGGCGACCCGCCTGCCCCACTCGCTGTGTACCGTACTGAAGCAGGCTACAGTAGCCCTCGCTTCGTCCTGTGTTCTTCTCTGTGACTGCAAAGCATTGTGTTTGCCGCTTCATTATGGGCAAAACTATCCCCAGCTTCTTAAGCCATTTATCTCTTAATTCAGATCAGCTTTCTCTAGCCTTCCAATCTTGAAAAGCCCAAGATGCTTCTCTGCAGGCAGACGTTACCGGGTTTGGGGCAGTTAATGAAAAGAGAGGGTTGTACAATACAGATTTTTTGCCGCTGGGCAATAAAGCAAAAAAGCAGCTCGCCAAAGTCCACTTTTGTTTTTCTGTGTTAACACAACATATGCAGTGATTTGCTGTACGGCTGTGCTGACCAAAATAGTATAAAGATGGCACAGGATTGTTGTGAGTACCTGAACACAAATGCACTTTTCTTGCTATGACTATAAATATACTACTTCCTGGTAAATACTGTATGTTAGCAGATAATGGTGAGCAGTCCTTCTCAATACCTTCTGTTGAAGCAGCTGTAAAAAGCAATGGAGGAAGTTCATATGCATATGCAGAGTCTCTTGGTTTTAGTGTTGTAGGGAGCAGTGACTTCCAAATTCTGCCTCACCTAGGTCTTTAGGAGTATGGTAAGCCGTCTGTAAAATAATAAAGTGTTTGAACTTTTCAGGTTGCTTAAGCTTTATGGCAGGGTAAGTAATTTCTGTGCCACCCCTTAGCAGGGAGTTCAGGAATCACTAATACAGTGCAACACACTTTCCACGGAACTTCATGGACATTGGTGATATCATGGGTATGGAGCCGTGATGAACCGAGTGTTGTATCAGTGTTGAACTGAGTCTGCTAAACAGCAGCTATGCAATTTAATAATTGCATCGGGATCTTCAGTAAAATCCTAAATTTTTTGAACTGAAAAGAGAGTAGTTGTTTAATCTTGCGTTGAAAAATTAATTTCCTAGTTACAACCTCTTGACAGTTTTTAATATCAAACTGATGCTTCAATGAAATGTTCTTTTTGGAGCAGACTAGAGCTAGTTGTATTCAACATAGATGTTCAGTCTGTTTTAAGTGGGGAGGTTTCTCAGGTGACTTTCAGAGGTCCTTTCCAACTGAAATTATTCTATGAAAAAACACTAAATTTATGATGTTATACATCATCTTATGTTGTGTTATTTCCTTTTAGAAAGGAATTTATGATGAAGCATTAAGCAGTTTCTTTAGGAATGTAGATACAAGGTAAGTCGTCTTACTGAGCAGCTCATGAGTTTAATACAGTAGATCAACAGTTCTAGTATTATCTTTTAACTTAAGCTACAGTTTTCTTTGCTTTAAGTTGTATTTTTTTCTAGAAGATTTTACTTTTTTGTATTCTCCTCAAAACACTATCTTCACCTTACCATTTTAAGCGTACTCACTTCAGAAAGGCGTTGAAAGTGTTAGGGTTTGTCTTCCTTTCTTTCTGTCCCAGAAGTGGACAGTCAGCGTCTCATAGCTTTTGTTGTTGCAAATCAAGATCACGCTGCAAGCCCTCTGAATACCAGCTTAGCATCATTTCTTGAAGAGCTGTAGGAGGAATTGTATGTAAGGTAGTCAGAAAAGGTCATGTCATTTTTCAGATCTCTTTTATCTGACTAGTTTGTTGCACAAGGAGTGGTGGCTGTGATTTTTTTAATTTTTTTGTAAGTTAACCAATTTGTACCTTAAGAGCATTCAGTCATCTCTTAACTGACCAGTTATAAAATCTGTGCAGTTTGCAAGAATAAACCAGTTGTGCACTTGGATATTGTTGTTTTGTTTTAATTAATTAGAAAGCATTTGACTGGCCTCTTCTGTCATGTGGCAAAGTTGCAGTACAGCATGCAATTTTAACTAAAATGGCATTGAAATACTAATTATTTTGTCTCAAATCTTACCTCTGAAAGAACATGCAAGTGCATTGGAGTTTATGATTGCCTTTCCTTGTGGGCATTTCCTAGAATATATTGTGGTTTGTTTTTTTTTTTTTTAATCCAAGAAGATTTGGTTGTAAACAACATCTGTGTATGTGCCACATGAAACCTCCAAGTTTACAGTTGACAGGTTTTGTGTCTGTAAAAAGGAAGGACTTGTCTCATTGAATACTGTGGAAGTTTCAAGGAAGATTCCCCTACCTGTGAAAGAGAAGAATGATTATTCAAATCTTGTCTTTCCCGAGAGCTATTCATTTTCCTATTGAAACAATTCCCACTTTTAACTGTAGCCTTGAACCATAATTTAATTACAGAGTCATTTCAAATTCTGTTGCTCAGGCTCTGAGGTTTTGGCCTTTTGTTATTGTTGTGGAGTTTTCTCTTTATCAGAAAGAAGTCGTTCACCTCCCAGGCTATTGCAAGCATAAAACCTTATGTCATAAAAGTGGCAAACTTCAGTCTTCTATGCTATGGCCATACCACTGTTCAAAATAATTAATCCAGGTGGGTTATCCTGTGAGAAACAGCTATGAACAAAACTCTGGCAGAACCAGGCAGACTTTTTTCTGTTATGGTTACTGTTATACTGTGTAACATTAGAAATGTGCTTACATCTATGATTTTATATGCAGACGTGCATGCCTTGAGCTTAAGGAATTCTAGGGAGCATGGGGATTTTTTTCAGCAATTGAATCAAAATGATTGAAAGTGGGGGCTAGCATGAAAGACCACAAAGATAATAAGAGAAAGAAATGTTGAACTGGGGTGGGTTTTTTCTCTTTGAATTTTGTTAATGCCTGAGGAGAAACAGAACTTCCTTGGCTGGGTTTACTGGTGGTACGATGGACTCGTATAGTGGATAGTGTAGGCTAATTCAGTCACATGAGTACTGCAGCTGCTGTGAGCTGCTCAGCTAGAGATGTCTGGATTGCTTCTTTGAGTGAGAAGGTGGAAGATCCTTGAGGAACCCAGTGCAGCTCCCTACTCTTCTCCTCATTCCTGATGGGACTGAGCATGGTCAGAACATTGGGCATTGTAGTGAATTTCAGCTGATGTTTTTGGAATATTATTGTGGTTGAATATAGAGTAGTCTAAGAAATACTTTAAACTTTGGCTGACCAGCCACCAGATTAGATAAAAAATTGAGGGGGAAATTAGATCCATCTTCTAGTATCCCTACCTTTTTTACCTGTGTTAAATATAGTTTGGCCAGACCAGAATATCTCACCCTTTGAGTGCAGAAGCATCAGCATTCTTCGTGGGGAAAAAATGTGATTATACACAATGCATAGTCCCCCGGGTTGGCTCACTACAACCAATCCTGGAAAAAAAAAGAAAATTCAGCTATGTCAACCCAGTATGATTTCTGAACTGGTAAACCTTAATGGCAAAGTCAGTCAAACACAGTACTGTGCTAGTGCAGTTATCCATCCTTCACAGCTTGAGCAGTAAGTAGTACAGTGCTGTGCTACCCCCATTGTAAAGCTAGTGGTGCTACTTGGTGTGCTGTGTTCCATTAGATGTTGCAGATATACATACTGCATGCTAGACGAAAAATAATCCTTTCAAGTTTTGGCATGCTTGTAGAATTGCTACAGAGCAGAGGCTGAATCTGAGATTAAACTCTTAATGATGATCGTTTCAGCTTCCTGAAGTACTGCTTGGGATATTTCTGATAGAGATCATGTTCTGTAATTGCACTGCATTAGGGAATTATGAGGTCTGTTTTAGTGTCATTTTCAAGGTGTTTATGTTGTAGCAGTCCTCTGAACACAAAAGATTAAGGAGGATATTTTATTCTAATGTGTATATTGCCTTATTTTCTACTGTGATTCTGAGCTTGATGGTTTTTTTGGGGGGGGTGTCCCATTTTTTTTTCCAGAAGCGGTGGTGATGGTCCTGATATTTACAAAGGAAAAATCTGCTCTTTAAAAGCACGAGTAAGGCAATCTATAAAAGTCACTCTTTTTACACTGCATATTTGCTTCCAGCTGTGTAGGAATTTTCGTAATTGCATATGTTTTTAAATACTACTTTGAATAGTAACATTTATAATAGTATCTTTTGTACTTCAGTGGAGTAAAGCAGTTTGCTGCCAGTCTTGATGAGTAAATTATAATTTTAATAAAATAATTGCAGATGTTACCAGCAACATTTTTATTTTACTTTTCTAAGGAGTGGGTTTCTTTGAGCCACTTTAAGTGACTAAGAAGCAAGAAAACTTGAAACAGAAAAATGCTTCAATTTCTTTATTCATAACTATTGGGGCAAAATGTTATAAAATGTTAACAAAATTGCATTATCTGAAACGTTGTCCTCTTGAATGACTTCTGACAAATCAGCCAGGGTGAATCTAGCTTGTCTCCTAGTTAACAACTAAAAAAAAGTTTCTCTTGAGCAGACTAGAAACAACATGACTTTTATATTGTAAATAATTTTGTATTTTCTTGTGTGATTATTTCGAAGGGTGGTTTGCTTACTGACAATTTTAATTCTTCCCTTTCTCAAAGGCACTGTTGATTGACATGGAGGAGGGCGTGGTAAATGAAATTCTGCAGGGACCATTGGGGGATGTGTTTGATAGCAAACAGCTTATCACAGATGTTTCTGGGTCAGGAAACAACTGGTGAGAACCTTTTCATAAGCATTTCTTGGCAACTAATTAGATGGCATTTGAAAAGGGAAAGGATAACAGTAGCTTTCTGGTTTGTTCTGCACCTGGGGAGCTGCAGCATATTACCAGTAAACCTTGGAGTCACTGTTGCCTGGAGGAGGGCTTTGAAAACCCTTTTACAGAAGGATAATTCTGCTGATAGATCATTTTATCTATTTTTTTATCTTTTTTGATTTTTCTTTTTCAAGAGAACATGCTTTTTATTTTTGTTTCTTTGGTATTCAGCTGCTTTTATTGCTTATTTGAAACCATAATCTAGTTTGAGACTGTACAACTAGTATGGAAATGAGATCTATGAACAAATGCACTTCTGATTTCTAAGCACTACACAGTCTGGCTTTGTGCATATAAATTACATTACCAAAAAGAGAAATTCAGGAAAAGATTGATTAACATAGTGAATTCCAAGTTTTCAGTGAGACTTTGATATGCCTCTAATAACATTCAGTGCACTACAGACTGGAAAGCAAATCATCAGCAAATGTACCAAAAGAGAGTGCAATACAGAGAATTTCACCACCTTGCAGGCAAGTGCGTTGAAAGTGAGCTGTTGGGTGGGGGTCAGGAGCGGTTTATTGCTGGTAGCAACTGACTCGCATAGTGCTCAAAGGAAGATCACTATACACATTACATAGGGATATCCTTATTGTTAAGGAGTGCATAACTTTAGTTTCATAATTATAATTTGGTCATCCAGTGTGCGAGTTTATTTCCCTAACAGTACAAAATAATACTGCGCACTGCAAAGCTGTGAACTTACTGCTGCTTGCATCCTCAAAATTAAACCTATGTCCTGACTCCCATATTCACGTGATTTAGTCACAGCTTAGCAACTTGCGGAAATTAGGTGTTGCACCCAGCTCTGAACTCTAAAATGTCAAACAGGAGGAGTTAAAATAAAAAATTGAAAGATATATTGATGCATTTATTTATTTTTTTTTAAAGTACTTTTTGTGTCCTCAGGGCTGTGGGTCATAAGCTATATGGCTCCCAGTATCAGGAAAACATTGTGGAAAAGCTGAGGAAAGCTGCAGAACACTGTGACTGTCTACAGTGTTTTTTTATAATTCATTCTATGGGAGGTGGTAAGTAATGTTTTTTATCGTTAGTATGATTGCACCAGCCACAGATGGAAAAAGAAAAACATGGATCTTGAAAACGTCAGTGCAGTAATCTGTCATTCAGAATGCAGAATAAAAGAAAAAAAACTGACAGTCCATTTAACTGGACCTGTAATTATTGTTTGGTTTGTTAAAGAACTGAGGAGCCCAAATCATGAACTAAGGTAAGTGACACACACAACAAAAATACAGCTAAAACATGAGGAAATGGGTGGATCAAGACAGGTACCAAAAAAGGAAACACTGAGGTATTACTGGTCAGAGGAAGGGACAGGAGCCTCGGAACACTGACATCATTGTTATAATCAAGTTGGTGTTAATGCTGGGAGTTTTCTAAAAGGCTTTGGAGGACTCTTCTAATGTTACTTAACATTAGAAAAACTTTGCTTTCCTGTTTTCCTTCCACATAATTTTCTTGAAACGAGTCTAGCTACTTTGCTAATAAATGAGAAGGGAGAATCCCTTGCAGTGACAATTTTTTCACTACTGTATTGCCACCAAGCCTTGCCTGTGTTATAACTGATTATGATGTGGAAAAAGGAACAGAAAATAGCTCTAAATATGAAGCAAGACTTTGTCAAGGCCCTTTTTCGTGGCCATTTGCTTAATTTGAGAGACCCTGCAGATCTTGTTTCTGTTATTGCAGAAACTTCCTGTCTTGTTCATTGATGAAATTGTCTGCTGCCAAGAATGTTAGCTGTCCAAGATGGAAAAACCACAGTTCAGTTCTCTGATTTGAACTCAGTGCTATGTGCTTTGTGCTACTGAGGAAAAAAAGGTGTGCTGGGGAAAAGGGGTGGTTCTGTTTTGACTGGGGAGTGAGAAAACTTTATAAAGAAACCCCAAAAGGAAAGTAAATAATTGTTTGGGGCAGTTCAAAGTTTTTAATGTTTTATTTCAAAATTAAAAGAAGAAATAAAAATACTAGGTCAGAAAACTATTGGTTACATAGGACCTTTTGGTTTGCAGAAATGTGAGATTGTATACTTCATCCTTCTGGTATACTGTGGGAAATACTTTTATCACTTAATTACTTTCCTGTCTGAGAAAAACCTTTATGTTTGACCCTCCACTGTCAGCCAAATGCTTCAGAAAATAATCATTAATATGTATTACTAAAAAGTTGTAAAAGTTCCCAACGTATGAGACTTAAGGCTTACGGTAACACGGGGAACCTTTTATCTTCTCTCATTCTGTCTTCATTCATAATTAGGGACAGGATCTGGTCTTGGAACCTTTGTACTAAAGTTGCTTGAGGATGAATTCCCAGAAGTATATAGATTTGTTACTTCAGTTTATCCCTCTGGTGAAGACGACGTTATTACTTCTCCCTATAACAGTGTTCTGGCTATGAAGGAGCTCAATGAACATGCAGACTGTGTGCTACCAATAGAAAATGAAGTAAGATAATAATCTATTTCTGTCAATTTATTTTTTATTAGGCTGCATGTAGGAAGTTTTTCTTCCTTCTGTGTATTAATTTGAATACCATGTCTTAAAAAACATAACTTCATTTTTTAAGTAATAATTGAAATCAAATCGTAAGTCACTTGCAGGCTTTTGAAATTAACACGCGTATCACTAAAAAATTGCTCTTCACCTTCAAAGTGGTATAGAGCGAATTTTCTCATGTATATTTCCAGGTAAACAGTGAAAAGCCTCTATTTGAAGAGGCTGAGAGTCTTACAGTCTTTTAGCAATCAATTTTTGCATAGCATTAGTGGAGTCCTCCAAGGGAGATGACTCATCACTCTAAATTCCAACAGACTTGACTTTACTGACTAGTGATGTGAGCATCATAGAGAAAGTGAAATATATTTAGAGAATATATTTTTGCTTTCACAAGAATTATGAAAATCCAAAATGTAATTTTAGAAGATGAGGATTTTGAATAGTTGAGTAAAATTGAAACTTCTGAGTCAAGCTGTGTAGATGTTTGACATGTAAAGAACAGACTTTTAGAAACACATCAGTCAGTTGGAATTGGTCAAAAGTTGGACTTACATGTATCAAAGGTATAATCTTTGAATTGACAGAACCATGTCTTAGCTTTTTCTTTAAGACTAACTGAAGTTAAAAATTGGGGTACTGAATTTGAAAGCTTTGTGCTCAAGACTTCTTGTATGCTTTTTTTTTTTTTTTTTTTTTTCCCCCTCAGTCTCTGTTTGATATAGTTAATAAAATTCATCAGTTGGCCAATTCTGGGAAGCTAGGATCAACTGTGAAGCAAAACAGTTTGGTAACATCAAGTGCAGGGAATGCAAAAACTGTACAAGAAAAGCCATTTGATGCAATGAATAATATTCTCTGAACCTGACAAGGTAAAGTTACAGGTTATTCCTCTGCAAAAGTAGTATTTCTGGTGGCTGTGTGTGCTGCAAAGCAAGTCAAAGAATACTAATTGTTTTCCATTCGATATGTCTTCTCTTTTTAAGAATTAGTAAATGTTTATGTATTTGAAAGTATTCACATTGCAGTGGTGTTGCCCTACTCGTAATAGGTTCTTACTACTGAAGTAAAGGTTTATAGGCAGAAGGATATTGTCTTCCGTTAATGCTTAACAGAGCCCAGGGAGATTTGGCTTTCTAGGCCAGTTGTATTACTTTATAAATACTGTCAGATCATTGTTGCTCCTAAACTGCCTATTGCTGCAAGAAACTCTTGGTGAAATACACTATTTATTAGAACTATTAGAAACAGCTATGTCCACATAACTAAAAAACAGTGCTAAAAACTGCAATCAGGAAACAAGGTCTCAATCTTCATGATTTATTGTTCTATGATGAGAAGTGTAAGTAAATAAGACATAGCACTGTTACTGCCAAATGTGAAAGTTTAGTACATGAACAGTTTCTTGAGTGCTGTGTTGTTCAATTGTTGTATATAACAGTTGAAAAAATAAATGTAATGAATGCTTACATTCTAAAAGTAATTCCCTTAGTTTGTAACAGTTTCATAACAGTCTGTTAATTTTTCAGCTCTGCTAGGTTTGAAGGTTCCCTTAACATGGATCTTAATGAAATCAGCATGAATTTGGTTCCGTTTCCTCGGCTTCATTACTTGGTTTCAAGTTTGACTCCTCTGTATACGTTGGCTGATGTTAATGTACCTTCTAGAAGGTAAGAAAAAAAAAAAACAACACTATAGTAAAACTAATGAAGGGTAAAAGTTTTTTAAAAGTTTTAAGTCTAACACATTTTCAGATCAGTCCTGCTGATTATTAGGAACATCCTTTGTCCCTTTTCTCTGTAATGGTTAAGCCAGTAAACTTGAAATCTGTTTTTGTTATCTCTGCTGGGAAACGTTTCTGCTGGAAAATGTATTGCTTAGAAGCCACACCACAAAGTCTTTTGAGTAACAGTCTGCACTTGACTCACAAAATCCTGTAAAGACAAACAAGGAATTAAACACAACTACGTGGGAAGTAATGGCATCCTACTTCAGTCTGAAGATGCAGTGAGGCCATTTAACAGCTCATTGTAACACTAAACTGACACTTGTCAGATTTTTTGAGATGAGTTATACCACAGACATTGCAGAAAAATAACTAGTTAAAATAGATTTTATTTGGTTTAGTGAATTAAGTTCAGTCAGCAAAAGGTCCAAATAGTGACAATCAGCTGGGGTAAGTGATGGAAGTATGCAAAGTGAAGAAGAGGGCAGGACCACCCATTTTCTGTGATAACAGGTTGTGACAATCAATTAGATCTCTTGAAACCATACCCTGAGGGGGCAATACAGGGCTGCAGGGAAGGTAGCAGCAGGCTATGAGGAAGTCCTCAGTCAATCATGTTTTAGAGTGAGGTGGAAACAGGAATATTTTTGTCTCTGTTTTTAATAGGAAGGTTCTGGCAGAGGGCATTTTAAAGAAATAGTGGTGGTGGATGCAGAGAGTTTGGAACAAATGGAAAGAATAACTTGGATATTAATCAAAATGCATGCAGCTGTAGGATTCATTGATCCTTTTAAATAATGATGTGTAACAGTTCTGTAAGGGTCAGCAGCACTTTGGTGTTTCTTGTGAGATCCTTCGCAAGCAGTGAGATTGTCTACTTAAATTTTCATGTAACCAGAACCTGAGGTAGTTGCATCCTTTTACATATTTTTAATACTTTAACCATTGACCTAAAATTGCCATAATAAAGGTCTCTTAGTCTGTCCATTTCTCTGGCTTTCTGACTTTGAACTGAACAGTGGCTTATAACATCAGGGAGAAGAGCAGGGAAGATGAATCTGGTGTGTTTTTAAAAACTTCTATTGCCAACATATGTGCGTATAAGGGTTTGAATTCTTTTGCTGTCATTCATGGTCCCAGGTTAAATATACTGTATCTCTAGAATTTTATGAACTTTTAAACCCTCAAGGGGGAGCATTCTGAAGAACTTTTGTACCCTTATTAAGAGTACATAACTCTCTTTTCTTTTCACCTAGGTTGGACCAGATGTTTTCAGATGCTTTCAGTAGAGATCATCAACTAATTCAAGCAGATCCAAAGCACAGCCTCTACCTTGCCTGTGCACTTCTCGTTCGAGGAAATGTGCAGGTTTCAGACCTTCGCAGAAATATTGAAAGGTTTGTAATACCACAGAAAGTAGTCATGGATTTGGTTTTGAAGCTGTTGTCAGTTGTCTAGAACACCCTCAATATTTATTTGAAGAATTTCAATACCAAATTAGTTTACTTAGAAATATTTTTTCTTACTTTCAGAAGGGAAGAAAATGTAATTAATTTACATAATTCCAAGTTAGAACAAGTCACAGCATTCTTGGATTTCCAAATAAAGGGAGCTGACTAGATGTCCCTGTTGCTGCTCCTTTCTCAAAAATGCAAAAGAAAGCAAAGCCCAACCTTCCAGAGGTCTCCTGCAAGTAAAAGATATTTGAGGAGTAAGTTCTGTAGTGGAAGTTTATTTTTACTGAACAGAAGGCCCCTCTTTGTCATTGATAATTTCATCATCAGGAATCATTCTTGTTTTAACAACTCTGTTGTTAGCATTCTGTTTCTACCTTTTACACTATTAATCTACATAGTTACAAGAGAAAAGGCAGGCAAGCTTTGCATACAGAATGGAATTTATAGGCAAACCGGTAGATGGGAAAAATTTCTGAGAATGTGAAGCATTTTACTTATTTCTAAACTACACATGAACTGATTGTCCCCACACAGTATTAATCTGCCCCTCTTGTAAATCTCAGATTGGTTGCAGTCCCTTTTATAGAAATAGGTGTTTGTAACTTTATTTTTTAAACCCTGATACATTAAATTATAAAATTGGCATTTGTAATTTAGATTTAAAATAGACACTGTTTTAGTCTGAAGTCTAAAATCTTGTGTTCAAAATGATAGTTATAACTGGCTTGCTTAGTTCTGAAAGTTTAAATGTTAACCTTTTCACATTGTTAGCAAAGGAAACTTCAGCTTTGTGCTCTTTACATTCCTTAGTTATCTACATTTTCGTATTGCAGGTTGAAGCCTTCCCTGCACTTCATCTCCTGGAATCAAGAGGGGTGGAAAACTGGTTTGTGTTCAGTACCTCCTGTGGGCCATTCCCATTCTCTTCTGGCTTTAGCAAACAACACATGTGTAAAACCAACTTTCATTGAACTCAAAGACAGATTTATGAAGCTCTACAAGAAAAAGGTACAACTCATCATTATAACATCCGTAGCCACTGACCATTAGCAACTTGCTTTAGGGAAGCGAATCTTTGTGTATCACAAAGGGACTGCTAGAAAGTAACAGCTCAAGATTTTTGTGTTGCCTCTCAAGGAATCATTCCACCAGCTGGTGCTCAAGAAGTGTAACCTCGTTATTAATACATACCTTCCAGGCTAAATACTTACTTTCTTCAGCAGTCAGTATCTGACAGATCTGCCTACCAGCTTGTGGTGGATTGACCTTGGCTGCCTGCCAGGGGCCCAGCAAGCTGTTCTCTTTACCAGGACAGGGGCAGAAAGTATAATGAAAAGCTTATGGGTCAAGATAAGGACAAGGGAGATAACTCACTGGTTGGTCATGGGCAAAACAGATTTGACTTGGGGAATATTAATTTACTGCCAATGAATAACAGACTAGGATAGCAAGAAATAATTGAAAACTGAGAACATCTTTACCCCACCTCATGCCCTTCTTCCCAGCCTCAATTTCACTCCTGCTCCTTCTTCCCTGATCTTGGTGTCTGCAGGGCTGTTTCTCTCATATTTTTCCAACTCCCCTTTCTCACAGCTGTTGTGCAGCATTTTTTACCCCTCCTTAAATATGTTATCACAGAGGTGCCCTAGTGGAGCCAGATGGATCTGGCTCTGTCTGACAGAGGGGCAGCTCCTGGTTATCTTCTCATAAAAGCCACCTCTGCAGCCCTGCACTCCCCCTCACTACCAAAACCTTGCCATGTAAGCCCAATACACAGTTTGTTCAGGTGAAACCAAGAAAACAATGTGAAGAGGTGGACATATAAAAAATCTGTAATATCAACAGTGATTCCATAGGGGATTATTACTAAAGTTGCTAAGTCTTTAAACAAGGAATGTCCTAAGTCTTCAAATCTACGTCCTACAGTGCTTGCACTCTCCTCTTCAGTGCAGGCTAAATGGTACTTACTGAGCCAAAAGGATAAGGTGCAAGAAAAAGGAGAACACTGAATGCTTTTTTTATTCTCATAGGCTCACCTTCACCATTATCTGCATGTAGATGGGATGGAACAAAGCTGTTTTTCTGAAGCCATATCATCTTTGTCTGACCTAATAGAAGAGTACAATGAACTGGATGCCACAAAAGGTGGGCCTAGAACAGATCCATCAAGACTGAAGATAGCTGTTTGAAGAAGGAGGAATTGATTTAAAAAGAAAAAAAGAACCCCCCCCATGCATCCAACTACTTCAATTAAACAGAATGAATTGAAGCATGTTGAGCTATCGTAATTCCAAAGTGAGACTGGGACAATGGCTTCCTTGGCTCTGAAAGGCATTGTATGAAGTGACAGGCCCAGACTGTAAGAAAGATTTGAAGGCACCTAATTACAGCAAATATATCAGTAAAAGCCATCTTCCTAACTGTGAATTGACATACCGTATGCTGTAAAGAGAAGAAAGAGAGGTTACAGCAGCCAAAAATGCTGTTCTTTTCTCAGATTTTCATCTTACAGTAAACTAAAGGCAGATCTCACGTCAAGGAAGGATCACTGTTGCTGATTTATTTTTTAACAAGCAACTATGAAGAGAAGCCTACATCATCTCTTCAGAGGTGAAAGCAAGTCTCTAATGGAACTGGTTTCGTAAATTTTGCAGGATAGATGTAACTTCAGAATGCTCTATGTTCACAGTTGTAACATTTTTGCTTCCATGTTGCACTTAGCTGTATTAGAGCATTCTGAGTTGATATCAAAATTTTTAATATCAAAATTTAACAAAATTCTTCTTTCAAGTATTATACTTGGAGTATTAATTATATTATTTTAATGATTCATATTAATGAATGCTGAGTTGCACTTGATAATGAGATAATACAATGTACCTCTGAGTGAAACATGCACTTATAATGAAGTTATAATGATTGCTTTGAGAAAAATGTTAATATGCTTAAAATAATGCAAGTAAAATAGCTGGTTTAATATTTATAATTACCAGAGTAAGTAGATCTTTATATTACAGTAAGAAATTTTACAAAACAGAATGTACAGCTGTTCTGTTGCTTGCCAGCCTTGGCTGTCTTAGAACAGCAAGACTAGTCAACTGTTACAAGTCAGACTGGATCAATACAATGACTTCTTAAAGCTTGAAGTCCTTCTAGTAGAGTTGGAGTGGGTGTGTAAGTAAGCACGATTTTCAACGTGTAAGTCCAGAAGATTTCAATAAAACATTGTGATAACATTTGTTGAGAGTATTTTCTTTTAAGAAAACATTCTAAAAGTAGTCATTTCATAGAATCATAGAATAGTTAGGGTTGGAAAGGACCTTAAGATCATCTAGTTTCCTTGAAATGGTGTATCTGTTACCTGCCAGGTGCCCACTTACTTGTTCCTTTACCAGTGCGTTGCTTAAATTCACAACACTAGAGAATGCTTTGTGCAGCAGATAAATCTATCTGAGCTTAAAATGACTACTCCTGTTTGAGCCAGCATTGATGTATTTTACTATTGCAGACACATAGTAGAAAATATTGAAAATCAGGAATGATAGATGAAGTCTTACCGGGTGGTGGGTTTTTTTCTAATTGGTCAGAACATCTATGAATTTACATGTATTTGTCTTTGTGGGCAACAACTTGTTACGGTGAGGTATGAAGCTGTCTCGCTGTGCCTTTACCAAACGTTCTTGTTCCGGCAGTACTAGTGTGACATACATCCTTTTCAAGAATGTACTTCCACATACAAAACCAATTCCATTTAAAAAGATATGCTCTTACTTGCATTTAGGTGCTTCAGGTGCTATTTAACAAATGAGTGTTCCCGTATGTAGTTTCACTATAAACATTGCTGTGGCGGGGGATTATGCTAACTCTTCAGGGTGTGAATGTGCTGTTGCGTTCCCGGTGGGTTGCAGTCAATGGTGTAACTTGTCATACAAGTTTGAGTTCAGAAAATATATCTCCTGGAGCACTGCAAATCCTCTGACATACACACGATGTTATCCACATCATCTTCCACCTAAAGAAGCCTTCATTGGGACACTCAAACTGTACAGTGATCATTTTGGACTTATTAGGTATGCAGCACCTCTTATCCAAGCACACCCCACAGAAAGTTAGTTTGTAGCTTTGAGTAGTTGAGCATCCAGAAAAAACTAATTTCTCTGCTGTAGGAAGCTGGAATGTTGGTTGACATGTTTTTCCTTTTGGAATCTTTAATACAAAAACAAAGAAAAGACTGAGTTTTTAAACATTAAAAACAAAACATGTAAGAAAATATGGCGCTATTTATGTAGAAATAACTTGAAAACCACTCCTTCTGAGAGCTTATTTTTCTTCATCAGTCAAAAAATAGAAAATATTTTCTGAGTCACCAAGCAGCAGGACAGCACTAGCACCACTTATATTTCAGGACAGTGTAACATTTTGTTTGAAATTATGCATCTGTAGTTTACTATTGAAACCTGAAGACTGAAGGTAGAAAATGCAGAGGAGTTATTTTAAAACCTTTTAAAAAGATCATTTTAAATTAGTAGTTGCTAATACATGACTCCATTAATTCCAATATTCACATTTTCTATTAGGAAGCCATTTTATATTAGAAAATACCTTTATCGTCTTCAGTGCAGTGCTCAGACAAGGCTGGATGAAGCATAACCTCTTCTCTTTTTTCATTTCACACTTGCTGTTTTCGTTGGTCACTCTGCTGGATATGCCTATGCCACAGGTCCTGGAACACGGTGTCCAGGGGGTTGCCTGCACCAGGCACTTTTTCTTCAAAACTAGCGGTAAGCTTCTGTAAGCTAAGACAGCAATATATTGCATATGTAGCAGAACAGCCCAAAAAGGATTAATTGAAAATAAAAGGATAAGCATTTGATTTCTGTTCATGAAGGTGCTTTTGTAGGTAAATCTAAAAATGAGGCATAAATGAAGTGACAAGAAAGCTAAGTTGCTATTAAACTTACCAACACTGGATGCTCATCCTAGCAAGGACTATGAAATTGCATGTGTTGTTTGACCTTCCAGTTTAATGTGATGAAAATGTTATATGGAGACAGTTACTTGTGGAAGTTTTATGAAATGTCCAGAATGGAAGAGACACTGAAAATTAATTAAAGCCAAGCACAGCTTGAAAAGGAGTGCTGAAAACATCAATGTTGGTTTCTTTGTAGGTACCGTGAAGGCTTTTGCTTTTTTATTGAGGGATAAAATTCTCCAGTCACTTCTAGATATCACCAAAAAGCCTACCTTCTGATAGATTAGGGCTGGATAAGGAGGAGTACACTTAAAAAAAGAAATAAAATTGCAGTGAAAAGCTCATGAAACTGCAAAACAAAAACTGATTATGTGGAATCTCTGTGTAAGAGCATGGGCAGAATTACAAGGCTACCTGGGAAGTAGACAGCAATTTAAGACCTCATTGCAGCAAGCAGATTAAAGCCTCAGAGATCTGCAACAAATAAAGGGAAGTTCAGTGGTCACTTATACTTTGTATGTTTTTTTAAAATATGGCCTGGGTACATCCCTATGTATCTGAATGAGGTAAATCAAATTGACCAGGAAAGCCAGAAACCAGAGCAAGAGCAGTAAAGCAGAACTTCGCACTCGTTAGCCATGCTAACAGAAAAAAGACTTTTCAAAATATGTGTCAGCTTATTGAGCCATTCATAGAATTCATGAACAAGCTGACATGATACTTCTGCTGCACTGGGAAAGAGAAGGGGGAGACCTCACTTTGAAACAAAACTTCCAAGATGCTTTTCTTCAAAGCGTTTGTACCACTTGAGGGATAGCATCCTTCAGCACGTACAGCCGTCACAGGGACAGGCTGTTGTGTGCCTGGACCAAGGCATATCGGAAGTATGCTTTGAGATCTCGATAGCTTTTCTCAAGGTTATGTTGCACAGCTGATACAAATTCCAGAACATATCTGTGAGGTGTGGTATTGCAGCCAATGAAGGAGTTACTGAAGGCTGGAATGCAGCTTTTGAAGTGCTACGAAGCAAATGCCTCAGTGCTGTTCTCCAGGTATCTGAAACACAGCTCTTCACAAACCCAATTAATATATTGCATGGGGTCAGATGGTTTGGATGCCATTGTTTTCAAAGCTCTCTCTTTTCTTTGATCAGATTAGTGATGTTCTCTAGAAATGAAGTGTCTCTCCATTTGAAGTCAGTTGCCTCACCAAGTGTGTGTTTATACACAGCATTAAGCAGATTTCTGTAAAAAGGCTTTGATACTAGTTAGAGGTGTTGTATCATAATTTTGAAGTAAAGATGAGTTTCTTTTTTTATTTTTGTTAACTTGCATAACCGTATCCTGGGCTGCATCAAAAAAAGCGTGACCAGCAGGTCAAAGGTGATCCTGCCCCTCT